CTGCCTCTGCCTCCCAAAGTGCTGGAATTACAGGCGTGAGCCACCACGCCAGGCTGCTAATGGACATTTACAGCATATTTAGAAAAATGTTTTATACCACTGGGCACAGTGGCGCATGCCTATAATTCCAGCATTTTGGAAGGCCGAGATGGAAGGATCACTTGAGACCAGGAGTTTGAGACCAGCTTGGGCAACAGAGGAGACCCCATCTTTGCAAAAAATCTAAAGTTTAGCTGAGCATGGTGGTACACGTTTATAGTCCCAGCTACTCGAAAGGCTGAGGCGGGAGGATCACTTGAGCCTGAGATGTTGAGGTTGCAGTAAGCCTTGACTGTGCCAGTGCTCTCCAGCCTGGGGGACACAGCAAGACTTGTCTCTTAAAAAAAAAAAAAGTTTTACAACTAAAACACACCTTTTTCTTGGACTTAGGCTGGTTCAGAGTGTACAGCATTTTACCCAAGTCAAATAATGACTTGATGAGGCTGAGTCACTCCATGTAAGAGCTGGTATAATCCAGCTACCTCACTTAAGGGATGCAGCAATTATGAGCAGAGACATTGAGTTTTCTCTAGAGCGGTGGTCTAGAGCGGTGGTTGGTTCCTCATGGGGGTGGTACTGCCCTCTAGGGGTACGTGTGGAAATCTGTGGGATTTTTTTTTTTTTTTTTTGAGACGGAGCCTTCCTGTCGCCCAGGCTGGAGTTCAGTGCCGAGATCTCGGCTCTCTGTAATCTCCAGTCCTTAGGTTCATGTGATTCTCCTGCCTCAGCCTCCCGAGTAGTTGGGATTACAGGCACATGCCACCACACCCGGCTAATATTTGTATTTTTAGTAGAGATGGGGTTTCACCATGTTGGCCAGGCTGGTCTCAAACCCCTGACCTTAAAAGATCTGCCCGCCTCAGCCTCCCAAAGTGCTGGGATTACAAGCATGTGCCACTGTGCCCAGCTGTTACATTCCTTCTTAAGGAAATGTTCTTGGCTGAGTGTGATGGCTCACACCTCGTCTCTATTAAAATACAAAAATTAGCCGGGCGTGGTGGCGCATGCCTGTAATCGCAGACACTCGAGAGGCTGAGGCAGGAGAATCACTTCAGCTGGGGAGGCAGAGGTTTCAGTGAGCCGAGATTGCGCCACTGCATTCCAGCCTAGGCAACAGAGTGAGACTGGTCTCCAAAAAAAAAAAAAGTTATTGTAAACAGACTACACTAACTGTGAATTTCATTTTGGGGTTACAAAAGAGAGCTTTGGATCAGATATAATTCAGAACCATTGCTCTAATAGTGAACCATGGGCAGAAAATCGTGGTAGAGAATCTACGACAGCAGGAATCATGGTTCAAGAGGGTTTAAACTGGGAGTGAGACTGATCTGAGTTCAAGTACAGGCACAATATTTCCCTACTTTGGTTACTTTGGGAAGACTACTTAACTTTTCCAGGATCCCTTTTCTTCAACTGTAAAAATGTATTTAGGAGTATCTGCCTTAGCGCTAATGTAAGGCTAAAATAAGAAAAATTTATGTGCCAAAAAATGCTAAATGTCTGAGCTTTCTCCACTTTGCATTTTTTTTTTTTTTTTTGAGACGGAGTCTTGCTCTGTCGCCCAGTGGCGCGATCTCGGCTCACTGCAAGGGCCGCCTCCCGGGTTCATGCTATTCTCCTGCCTCAGCTTCCCAAGTAGCTGGGACTACAAGTGCCCGCCACAACGCCCGGCTAATTTTTTTGTATTTTTAGTAGAGTCCGGGTTTCACCGTGTTAGCCAGGATGGTCTCGATCTCCTGACCTCGTGATCCACCCGCCTTGGCCTCCCAAAGTGCTGGGATTACAGATGTGAGCCACTGCACCCGGCCCACTTTGCATTTTTCTACAGCCTTTCTTTCTGTGATAAATAGACTTTTTTTTTTTTTTTTTTGAGATGGAGTCTTCCTCTGTCGCCAGGCTGCCAGTGGTGTGATCTCGGCTCACTGCAACCTCCGCCTCCTGGGTTCAAGTGATTCTCCTCCCTCAGCCTCCCGAGTAGCTGGGACTACAGGCATGTGCCAGCACGCCCAGCTAATTTTTGTATTTTTAGTTAAGACAGGGTTTCACCATGTTGGCCAGGATGGTCTTGATCTCTTGACCTGTGATCTGCCTGCCTCGGCCTCTCAAAGTGTTGGGATTACAGGCGTGAGCCACCACACTCAAGCAGTAAGTTGACTTTTTTCTTTTTGAGACAGAGTCTTACTCTGTCATCCAGGCTGGAGTGCAGTGGCATGATCTCAGTTCACTGCAAGCTCTTGCCTCCTGGGTTCACAAGGAATTCTACTGCCTCAGTCTCCTGAGTAGCTGGGACGACAGGCGCCCAGCATACCACGCCCAGCTAATTTTTTGTATTTTCAGTAGAAACATCCTAGCCAGGATGTTCTCAATCTCCTGAACTTGTGATCCACCCACCTCGGCCTCCCAAAGTGCTGGGATTACAGGGATGAGCCACCACCACACCCAGCCAGTAAGTTGACTTCTTAAGGTTCACTCCAGGGTGGGGTGCTGGCTCTGGTCAGTTCTAAAACTAATGCTACAGAAAGACAGTGATCGCTGTGGTATAGTGGAAAAAGCCCAAGACCAGAAGGCTTGGTGTGAAGTCCTGAATGTCACCATGTGTGACCATGGAACTTGTTAAAGCTTCAGTTTCTATAAAATGAGACAACAATATGTACCTCATAGAGTTGTTTTGAGTTTTAAATAAGTTAATGAATACAAGTGCTTCGCATAGTGCCTGACAGAGTAAATGGTTACTATTCTTCTTGGCATAATTGGGAAATGTTACAGCAGTGCTTCCTAAATAAACTTCAGTCATTTTCATGCCATGGGTCAGAATTTTTGTCTAGCACTTGTATCATTACATATTTAATACTTTTTAATACTTTTTAATACTTTTTATATATCAACTTTTTTCCCAATCTATATGATTTTAAAGGAATCTTTAAATTACCAGCAAATGGAAATACAGTATTGTCACAAAAAAGAAAGTAACTTAAAATAAGTACAGTAGAATCAAAACAACATTATTAAATTTTAACTAGATACTATTACCTGTGGAAAGTTCTTAGCCTGAGGCTTACTCTCTTTATTAAAACGAGAAATTAATGTGAGAGGGAGGTGCTAAAGATATAGTAGCACTTACCTGAGATGGTTTCTGAACGTAATCAGAACTGACTGATAATTGCTTGTTTTTCTAAGAGACAATGTCTCCTTACGTTGCCCAGGCTGGTCTCCAACAATCCTCCTGCCTCAGCATCCCAAGTAGCTGGGAGAAAACTATTACTTTAATATGAAGGGGTACATGTCTAGATAACCATCTAAAATCATCTCAAATTCCTGTCTCTGTATATAAATATTGCAATGAGGGGCTGGGCGTGGTGGCTCACAACTGTAATCCCAGCACTTTGGGAGGCCAAGGCAGGTGGATCACCTGAGGTCAAGAGTTTGAGAACAGCCTGGCCAAGATGGTGAAACCCTGTCTCTACAAAAAATACAAAAATTAGTCAGGTGTAGTGGTGTGGGCCTGTAATCCCAGCTACTCGGGAGGCTGAGGCAGGAGAATCGCTTGAACCTGGGAGGCGGAGGTTGCAGCAAGCTGAGATAACGCCACTGCACTCCAGCCCGGGCCACGAGAGCGAAACTCTGTCTCAAAAATAAGTAAATACGTAGATAAATAAATAAATACTGCAATGAAATATGTGAGGAAGTTGCCTCCACTCTAGGGGGGAAATGATAACTACAATTCCTTGCATCTCTAACAGCAGTTTTACAGACTGCAAAGAGCTTTGGTACTTAGCATCTCAGCTGACAGTCCCGCCAGGTCCGACTCCTGGTACACTAATTTGGTAGAATGCAGATTATCACACTCACCTGACTGGATATTACAAAGACTAAAAGCAGTAACGCACCTGGCACTCTTCTCAACGAAAGGGTAGGATGGGATAGTTCATAGGTAAACCCACCGAAGGTTGGCGACTAACGTAAAGGATTAACAGCACCGTTTTTTTTCCAAAACTCAATACGTCCTAGATCCTGTGCTAAGGGCTTTACAGACATCATCTAATTTGATTCCTACCTGTCTATGAAGCAGGTACTGTTATCATCCCCATTTCACAGGGGACAAAAGTGAAACACAGAGATAACGGGTAAGGTCACCCTGCCAGTGGGGACGCGACGTGAACCTAGGCAAATTGACACAACTCCTGCACTTTCTTGCCCAAGGTCACGGCGGTGTGAGGTAGGCAGGAGAAGGAAGGGGGCTGACCTGTCAGATACTTGTTCCTGGGTGAGCTTCTTGTCGCTCTGCAGCAGGATGGACACGTAGTGGCGGATCATGCCTACGAAGAAAGTGATGATAACGATGGGTAGAACCACCCAGAGGCGGATGTTAGAGTCGAGCAACAGTTCTGGCCCTGCCATCTTCACTGAAAGCTGGCTCCCAGTCGGGAATGGGCGAGCTTCTCTTCTCCAGGGCGCAGTTGCTTCTCTTCGGCTTCTCTTCGACTTCGCCTCCAGGCCTTCTCACGCCCCTTTGCCCCGATATCCCAGAACTACCCTGCAACGGAGAGGCCAGCTTACTGCCTTCAGCTGGGCTGCCCGGCCTTACACTTCCGGCGCGAAAGTTCACGTCACGACGTGGCGCGCCTCGGTGGCGTCAGAGCAGCGTCGGGCCGGGCGGGAAAGTGGAAAACTACCCGCGGCGGTCCGGCGTGGTGGTTCACCCTTGTAATCCCAGCAGTTTGGGAGGCCGAGGCGGGCGAATCAGGAGGTCAGCAGATCGAGACCATCCTGGCTAACACGGTGAAACCCGTCTCTACTAAAAATAGAAAAAAATTAGCCGGGCGCGGTGGCGGGCGCCTGTAGTCCCAGCTACTCGGGAGGCTGAGGCAGGAGAATGGCTTGAACCCGGGAGGCGGAGCTTGCAGTGAGCCGAGATTGCGCCACTGCACTCCAGCCTGGGCGACAGAGCGAGACTCCGTCTCAAAACAATAAATAAATAAATAAAACTACGAGTGACGACTTCTTGGTGAGTAAGTGGAGCAGTGGTCATAGTCTCTCCAGGCCCCGGTCCCCTAGCGGCCTAATCTCTAGGCCCGGTCCGCGGTCGTCGTTCTTCTCTGAGACTCCGCGCCCGAATCCTCGGTTTTCTCATCTGCCCTGAGATGGGATAATCCCCACAGGTATCTTTCTGCTGGGCTTGGTGGTATGCGCCTGTCGTCCCAGCTACTGAGGAGGCTGAAGTGGGAGGATCACTTGAGCTCAGGACGTCGAGTGTGCAATGAGTCAATAATAGCACCACTGCACTCCAGCCTAGGCGACACAGCGAGAGAGACCGTGTCTCAAAAAGGGAGCCGGGGCCGGGGAGGTTGATAGTTCATTTATTGCTCTCGTCTACTCTATTAAAGCAGTTCTAACTTGATTTGTGTTGGTTTGTTTTTATTTTACTAGGTTTTTAGGGAACAGGTGGTGTTTGGTTGCATAAACAAGTTATTTAGTGGTGATTTCTGAAATTTTGTTGCACCTATCACCTGAAGAGTGTATAGTGTACCCAATGTATATTTTTTAATCCCTGAGTCCCCCGACCCTTTTCCTCGTGTCTCCAAAGTCCACTATATCATTCTTGTGGTGGTGGTGGTGGTGGTGATGGTGGTTTGAGATGGAGTCTCATTCTGTCACCCAGGCTGGAGTGCAGTGGCACAATCTCGGCTCACTGCAAACTCCACCTCCCAGGTTCAAGCGATTCTCCAGCCTCAGTCTCCCCAGTAGCTGGGATTACAGGCACCAGCCTCCACGCCCGGCTAATTTTTTTGTATCTTAAGTAGAGAAGGGGTTTCACCATGTTGGCCAAGAGGCGGGGGGGTCTCGAACTCCTGACCTCAAGTGATCCACCCACCTTGGCCTGTCAAAGTGCTGGGATTAACAGGCGAGAGCCATCATGCCTGGACCTGTATATCTTTTTTTTTTTTTTTTTTGAGATGGAGTTTGGCTTTTCTTGCCCAGTCTGGAATGCAGTGGCACAATCTTGGCTCACTGCAACCTCCGTGTCCCAGGTTCAAGCCATTCTCCTGCCTCAGCCTCCCAAGTAGCCGGGTTTACAGGTGCGTGCAGGCATGCCTGGCTAATGTTTGTATTTTTAGTAGAGATGGGTTTCACCATGTTAGGCTGGTCTCAAACGCCTGACCTCCAGTAATCCACCCACCTCGGCCTTCCAAAGTGCTGGGATTTCAGGTGTGCCTGGCCTCATTATGTCATTCTTTTTTTTTTTTTTTTTTGAGACGGAGTCTCCTCTGTCGCCCAGGCTGGGGTGCAGTGGCCAGATCTCAGCTCACTGCAAGCTCCGCCTCCTGGGTTGACGCCATTCTCCTGCCTCAGCCTCCTGAGTAGCTGGGACTACGGGCACCTGCCACCTCGCCTGGCTAGTTTTTTGTATTTTTTAGTAGAGACGGGGTTTCACCGTGTTAACCAGGATGGTCTCGATCTCCTGACCTCATGATCCGCCCGTCTCGGCCTCCCAAAGTGCTGGGATTACAGGCTTGAGCCACCACGCCCGGCCCATTATGTCATTCTTAATGCCTTTGCATCCTCATAGCTTAGCTTCTACTAATTTATGGATTGAAGAGTTATTTCTTATTAGGTTATTGGAATTTAAGTGTGCTTCTTGGTCAGTTCCACTGAAATAGATGAAAATGCTTGATGAACAGCAATTATAATGATAAAAATTGCAAGTCCAAAACCATGTTAGGAATAAACTTGATTTAGAAAAGGAAATTGTGGGCCAGGCACGGTGGCTCGCGCCTGTAATCCCAGCACTTTGGGAGGCCAAGGCAGGCAGATCACCTGAGGTCAGGAGTTCGAGACCAGCCTGGCCAACATAGCGAAACCCCATCTCTACTAAAAATACAAAAATTATCTGGGCGTGGTGTCATGCACCTGTAATCCCAACTACTCAGGAGGCTGAAGCAGGAGAATCGCTTGAACCCAGGAGGTGGATGTTGCAGTGAGCTGAGATCACGCCACTACACTTCAGCTTGGACAACACAGCAGTGGCACAATCTCAGCTCACTGCAACATCTGCCTCCCAGTTCAAGTGATTCTCTTGCCTCAGCCTCCTGAGTAGCTGGGACTACTGGCGCGCGCCACCACACCTAGCTAATTTTGTCATTTTAGTAGAGACTGGGTTTCACCAGGCTGGTCTTGAACTCCTGACCTCAGGTGATCTGCCTGTCTCAGCCTCCCAAAGTGCTGGGATTACAGGTGTGAGCCACCACGCCCGGCCAGAAATATGCATCTTCCCAGTGATTCCAGTACAGTGATTTGCAGGCAACAGCTTGAGAGACACTGGCTAGTTTAGAATTTGGATGGAAAACATTTCCATGGGTTGTTCTTGTTAGGCACTTGTTTGTTTGAATTTATTTTTTTAGAGATGGGGATCAACTAGGTAATATTTTAATCTAATTTTATTCTCTGGGTTTAATGAAAGAGCTCAGGATTGAATCTGGGTTTTCTTTTCTCTCTTTTTTTTTTTTTGAGACGGAGTCTCGCTCTGTCACCCAGGCTGGAGTGCAGTGGCACTATCAGAGCTCACTATAGCCTCAACCTCCTGGGCTCAAGTTATCCTTCCACCTTAGCCTCCTAAGTAGCTGGGACTACAGGTGCGCATCTCCTCACCTAACTAGTTTTTTGTGTGTGTGGAGATAGGGGGTCTTGCTTTGTTGCCCAGGCTGGTCTTGAACTCCTGGTTTGAAGTGATCCTCCTGCCTTGGCCTCCTAAATGCTGCGATTCCAGCGTAAGCCACCTTGCCTGGCCAGAAATCGCACATTTTGAATTCTTCAAATGAAAACTTAATAGGTGAAAATAATTCTATTTGTTGATATGAATTGTTTGTTTTGGAAGCCACTATTGCTGAAGATACTTTATTTCACTACAGCATCAATCCTAGTATAATTTTTAAGGAACACATCAGTTTTCCTCTCAGGATTATTATTCCTGGGTTTAAGTTTTCATTTTTCCTTTATAATTTGCCATATTCTTTAAAATTTTGTCAATTTTCAGAAACCAGGAAGCAACCACTTTCCATCTCATATTCCTAATGAAGTTGAAGAAAATGACAGCGTCTGTAAAGCTTCTTAAGACATCAGAAATTATTCTTAAAACCAGAGAGAGTCAGAATCAACTAGGTAATATTTTAATCTAATTTTATTCTCTGGGTTTAATGAAAGAGCTCAGGATTGAATATGGGTTTTCTTTTCTTTCTTTTTTTTTTGAGACGGAGTCTCGCTCTGTCGCCCAGGCTGCAGAGCAGTGGCGCCATTCTCCTGCCTCTGCCTCCCAAGTAGCTGGGACTACAGGCGCCTGCCATCACACCCGGCTAATTTTTTTGTATTTTTAGTAGAGACGAGGTTTCACCATGTTAGCCAGGATGGTCTCGATCCCCTGACCTCGTGATCCACCCGTCTCGGCCTCCCAAAGTGCTGGGATTACAGGTGTGAGCCACTGCACCTGGCCAATCATGGGTTTTCTAAACAGAGGCAATGAAGATTAGAAATGACAGGACCATCCATCTTGAGACAAAGTTGAAATTGCTTTTTAGAAAATGGTACAGCCAGGCCGCACATGGTGGTTCACGCTTATAAATCCCAGCACTTTGGGAGGCCGAGGCGGGCAGACTGTCTGAACTCAGGAATTCCTGACCAACCTGAGCAACATGTCTCTACTAAAATACAAAAAATTAGCTGGGCATGGCGGCGTGCGTCTGTAGTCCCAGCTACTCAGGCGCCTGAGTCAGGAGAATTGCTTGAACCCAGGAGGTGGAGGTTGCAGTGAGCCAAGATCACGCCACTGCACTCCAGCCTAGGTGACAGAGTGAGACTCCGTCTCAAAAAAAAAAGGAAAAAGAAAAAGAAAATGGTAGAGTCTTTGGTCCTCATTACTACCTGTTAAGTAAAGCATTTCTAATCCTTTCATTAGAAAAAATGTTATATACTATTATTTCTTTTGTGTTTTCTTATGAAAAAATAAATATCCAGAAAGCAACTATATCAGTGTCAGAGTAATTTCAAAAGAAAATTTATAGAGCCATGTAAGATTGTGCTGGGGGAACAGATTATTCTATCTTGCTAAGGTTATGGCAGGTCTTTTTTAGAGCACTTAGTGGCTATCTGCTATCAAAGCTAAGTCTTTTATGTAGGTTTAGAAGATTTGAGTCTAGGCCGGGCGCGGTGACTCACGCCTATAATCCCAGCACTTTGGGAGGCTGAGGCAGGCAGATCACGGGGTCAGGATGTCGACACCATCCTGGATAATACAGTGAAACCCCATCTCTACTAAAAATAGAAAAAAATTAGCCAGGCGTGGTGGCGGGTGCCAGTAGTAACAGCTACTTGGGAGGCTAAGGCAGGAGAATCACTTGAACCCAGGAGGCGGAGGTTCCAGTGAGCCGAGATCACCCCACTGCACTCCAGCCTAGGTGACAGAGCAAGTCACCATCTCAAAAAAAAAAAAAAGATTTGGCTCTGAAATTGGGTTGAAAATATTTTTATTGGTTTTATCAGGAAGAAACGGGTTTTTAGAGAAGGAAAACTATGGTAGGAAACTGGTGACCAGCTCTTCTTTTTTCTGTGTAGCTGTGGACCAAATAGCTTTCCAAAAGAAGCTCTTTCAGACCCTGAGGAGACACCCTTCCTATCCCAAAGTATGTATTTTTCCCCTGGTATTTTTGCTTGTGCCAGCATAACTCTAGAATTTGGAATTTAAGGACACTGGTATAAAGTTGAGTGGGCTAAAATGATTTTTAACAGCAAATATTAAACTAAAAATTTATTCTTTTTTATTTTTTAAATCTCCTTATTAAGATAATAGAAGAATTTGTTAGTGGCCTGGAGTCTTACATTGAGGATGAAGACAGTTTCAGGAACTGCCTTTTGCCTTGTGAGCTCTGCAGGATGAGGAAGCCAGGTGTGGAGAGGAGGCATGGAATCTTGCTGAAATTCAGTCTGTTCGGCTAATTGCGTGGGGCTGGGGAGGGAGAGCGCAGTTGTTTCAAATTTCATTTTTGGTGTAAGCTCTCTTTTCCTCAAAGTAAACCTAACTTTGAAATTCCTAAGCTTGTGGTTATGAGCCTAACAATCAGTGTTTTCTAGAATGTGTTTCACCTGTGTTGACAGAATTTCTTTTTTTTTCGTTGTTTGAGATGGAGTCTTGCTCTGTCACGCAGGCTGGAGTGCAGTGGTACGATCCTGGCTCACTGCAAGCTCCGCCTCCCACGTTCATGCCATTCTTCTGTCTCAGCCTCCCGAGTAGCTGGGATTACAGGGGCACGCCACTATGCCTGGCTATTTTTTTTTTTTTTTTTTTTTGGTAGAGACGGTGTTTCACTGTGTTAGCCAGGATGGTCTTGATCTCATGACCTCATGATCCGCCCGCATCACCCTCCCAAAGTGCTGGGGTTACAGGCATGAGCAACCACGCCCATCCCCTAGAATTTCAAATCTCTACGTCTCCCTTGCTAAGAGCCATGTGCTCATTTCTGTATTTCTTTTCTTTTTTTTTTTTTTTTTTTGAGACAGAGTCTTGCTTTGTCGCCCAAACTGGAGTGCAGTGGCCGGATCTCAGCTCACTGCAAGCTCCCCCTTTCGGGTTTACGCCATTCTCCTGCCTCAGCCTCCCGAGTAGCTGGGACTACAGGCGCCTGCCACCTCGCCCGGCTAGTTTTTTGTATTTTTTAGTAGAGACGGGGTTTCACCGTGTTAGCCAGGATGGTCTCGATCTCCTGACCTTGTGATCTGCCCGTCTCGGCCTCCCAAAGTGCTGGGATTACAGGCTTGAGCCACCGCGCCCGGCCTACTGTATTTCTTGTATAACAGGATAGTTCCTCTTTAAAATTATGTATTTAACCAATTTTATTGAGAAAAGATGATAAAAGCATTAAAACAAGGAAAGCAAAGTGGAAAACATGTCTCTTTTTTACAGTATGGGTGCATCTTATTCTAAGAGTCTCATCAAACTGCTTCTGGGGATTGACATACTACAGGTAAGACTCACTTTTTCTGTGAACATTTGATGGATGAGGTTTGTGGTGTATGCTCAAGTCCAAATGGCGGGAACATGGGATAGAGTAGGGTTAATCAGAGAATTGGGGTTTGTAACAGCTTTAACACAGCTCTGTTGCTGTGATGAGTTTGGTAGGGTAATGTCTGTGTTTTAAAACTATGCTTATTAGCTTGGTACATCCAGCGGTTGGTCCCATTTATTCCCTCTGCATCTGATTCTTTTTCTTTTTCTTTTTTTTTTTTTTTTTTTGAGACGGAGTTTCTCTCTTGTTGCTCAAGCTGGAGTGCAGTGGCGCAATCTCGGCTCACCACAACCTCCGCCTCCCAGGTTCAAGCAGTTCTCCTGCCTCAGCCTCCTGAGTAGCTGGGATTATAGGCATGCGCCACCACGCCTGGCTAATTTTGTATTTTTAGTAGAGACAGGGTTTCTCCATGTTGGTCAGGCTGGTCTCGAACTCCCAACCTCAGGTGATCTGCCCACCTTGGCCTTCTAAAGTGTTGGCATTACAGGCGTAAGCCACCGCGCCCGGCCTGATTCCTCTCCTTAAATCTGCGTCCTGTGTACTCTGAGCACCTGGTAATCTATCATGTTCATATCTAAATCATCTCCCATTTAGCTTTTTAGATGATTATGTAACTTAATTTTGTCCTTTTTCTCCTTCTCTTTTAATATATTAAATAGACAATACATTGATATGATTTGAATATCTCAAGTTATTCAAATATATATAGATCAGAAAACTTCCCTCCACCCCATTCTCCATTTTTCCTCTTCTCTTGTCTCCTACTGTTAATCTTTTCACACTCTTTTCATTGGAAATCTTGAATATAATTTAGGTGGGTTTTTTTGGGTTTTTTTTTTTTTTGAGACGGAGTCTTGCTCTGTCGCCCACAGTGGCCGGATCTCAACTCACTGCAAGCTCCACCTCCCGGGTTTACGCCATTCTCCTGTCTCAGCCTCCCGAGTAGCTAGGACTACAGGCACCCGCCACCTCACCCGGCTAGTTTTTTGTATTTTTTAGTAGAGATGCGGTTTCACCGTGTTAGCCAGGATGGTCTCAATCTCCTGACCTCGTGATCCGCCCGTCTCGGCCTCCCAGAGTGCTGGGATTACAGGCTTGAGCCACCGCTTCCAGCATAATTTAGTTATTTTAAGTCTAAGAGCTCCCTTATTCCTCTGGAGAGCTCCCCTTGCAACCTATTTGATAATCTTTTAAAGTCTGCATTTCATGGATTAACAGCGTATTTAATAATATTTTGATTATCTGATTATTTTAACTTTGCCTTGATAATAATTTTCAGTTTTTCAGAAGGCAGATTAAGTCTTCGTATTCCAGTAGCATATTCTAAAAATGAAGACATACTCATGTGGATATCCTTGTAATAAGATATCAACTTTACCAAAGTGTTTCCTCCAGGAGCTCTAGTTGGAAAGAGATTATAAATTTCTTTTTTCTTTTTTCTTTTTTTTTTGAGTCAGAGTCTCCTCTGTCACACAGGCTGGAGTGGAGTGGTGTGATCTCAGCTCCCTGCAACCTCTGCCTCCCACAGGTTCAAGTGATTCTCATGCCTCAGCCTCCCAAGTAGCTGGGATTATACATTTCTGTTGTGTATATATGTATATTTTTTTAGACGGAGTCTCGCTTTGCCGCCCAGGCTGGAGTGCAGTGGCACAATCTTGGCTCACTGAAAGCTCTGCCTCCTGGATTCACACCATTCTCCTGCCTCAGCCTCCCGAGTAGCTAGCACTATAGGCGCCCGCCACTACACCCGGCTAATTTTTTGTATTTTTAGTAGAGACAGGGTTTCACCATGTTAACCAGATGGTCTCGATATCCTGACGTCATGATCTGCCCACCTCGGCCTCCCAAAGTGCTGGGATTACAGGCGTGAGCCACCGTACCCAGCCTTGTATTGTGTATTTTCAGATCATCCCCTAACTCCCTTTGTCTTCTTTTTTAACCTGCCATTGTCTAAACCTTATTTGAGAAGATGCCAGAATATTTTTTTGAAAATATTCTGGAGTTATTATGGAATGTTAAGTACAATCCTGTTGTACTTAAGTTTCTCTCTGAAAAGTTTACTCTGAAAACTGTTGGTTTCTCTGAAAGTCAATTTATCATGATGCTTCTTAAGTGACTACTAAAATTTTACTGGAGTGTCTTTGAAGTTTCATCTGTTAATATGACTTTGTAACAATAAATAGGATTACTGTTAAAAGTAACTATTGGCCTGCTGCGGTGGCTGACACCTGTAATCCCAACAGTTTGAGAAGCCTAGGCAGGAGGATTGCTTGAATCCAGGAATTCAAGACCAGCCGGGGCAATGTAGTGAGACTTTGTGTCTATTTAAAAACAGAAAAAAAAAATGTTTTTTAAGTATCTATTGCTTATGCTCAGGGATAATCCTTAGTAGAAGGATACACAATATACTGGTAACAGTAGTTGTTTCCAAAGAGGGTAGCCAGTTGGTTGGAATCAGGTATTCTCTGAATACTTTTCTTTACCTTTTTAATTTTGTAGTGTATGTTGAGACAGGGTCTCACTCTGTCGCCCAGGCTGGAGTGCCGTAGTACGATCACGGCTCACTGCGGCATCAACCACCCAGGCTTAAGTGATTCTCCCACCTCAGCCCCATGAGTGCCTGGGACTACAGGTGCGCGCCACCCGGTCTGGGTAATTTTCATGTTTTTTTGGTAGAGATGGGGTTTCGCTGTGTTGCCCAGGCTGGTCTCAAAACTTCTAGGCTCAAGTGATCAACCTGCCTGAGCCTCTCAAACTACTGGGATGTGGCCCTACCTGTTTTCTTTAATTACTATGTTAGAAAAGAAATGAACAGCCTAATAGAAAAGTAGACAAAGGTCGTGAACAGACCTTTTACAAAGAAGAAATACAAGAATATAAAATATTTAAAAAGTTAAATTTTGTTAGCAATCAAAGTCACAAATTTAAAACACTATATCAAAATAGTAAATAATAACTATTAAGCAGTAAAAGGCATTTTTTCCTACTCTCAAAGGGTCTGCTTGTTGAGTGTAGTGAATAGGCATGCTCATACATTGCTAGTGAGCATATAAATTAGTTCAGGCATTGAGTCTGAAGAGCAATAAATTGTATGTGTCAAAAACCTTAGATTTTGCATACCCTTTAATCCTAATGTCATGTCTCCTAATTTATCCTAGGATAATAACTGTGAATGAAAATGAAATAACATTAGTTTAGTGCTTGCTTTGGCAGCATATATACTAAGTCTGGAACAATACAGAGATTAGCATGGCCACTTTGCAAGGGTGACACGCAAATTTGTGAAGTGTTCCATATATTGAAAAAAATTGGCCGGGCACAGTGACTTACGCCTGTAATCCCAGCACTTTGGGAGGCCGAGGTAGGTGGATCATGAGGTCAGGAGACCGAGACCATCCTGGCTAACACGGTGAAACCCCAACTCTACTAAAAATACAAAAGATTATCCGGGTGTGGTGGCAGACGCCTGTAATCCTAGCTACTCCTGGAGGCTGAGGCAGGAGAATGGCGTGAACCCAGGAGGCAGAACTTGTAGTGAGCCGAGATTGCGCCACTGCACTCTAGCCTGGGCGACAATGCGAGACTCCATCCCAAAAAAAAAGAAAAAGATTACTGTTTAAAATAAAGAAATGTAAATAATTGAGATGTTCAAAAAGGAATATTATATGCACATTAATAACTGTAAAAAGAACTAGTTAGTATCATACATTAATTGAAAAAAACAAACCCAGGTTACACATAGCATTTATATTAGGTTGGTGCAAAAGTAATTGCGGTTTTTGCAATTAAATAGTGCAGTCCAGTATTTTGTTAAAAAAAGAAGATACATATGCATATTAATAGTGCACATTTCTGGAATGACAGGATTAGTCATTTTTATGTTCCCTTTTTAAATTTTTTCAGAGTCCTGTGTACAGTAATAATACATTTGAAGGATTGTTTGTTTATTTATTTTGAGAAAGAGTCTCACTCTGTTGCCCAGGCTGGAGTGCAATGGTGCGATCTTGGCCCACTGCAACCTCCACCTCCTAGATTCAAGCAATTCTCCTGCCTCAGCTCCCCGAGTACCTGGGATTACAGTGTTCACCACCACACCTGTCACCCAGGCAGGAGTGCAGTGGTGCAGTCTCAGCTTTCCAAC